TTTTCCAAAATGCACATCTGATTGTGTTTCCTACTCCAGCAGCTGCGGGCTACAGGGTAACGCTCCACATCCCGTCCCGTGGCCTTCACACCGCCTCTGACTCACCTGCCTCAGAGCACCCACCATACTCTGCCGCCCTCCACCTGTGTCCTCTGCTCCTTAGTCCCTGAATGTGAATGTCTGGTTATCCTCTAAGGCCCATTTCAAAGACCCCCCTCCCCTGAAATCCCCCTCCTGTCCCATATAAACAAATGGACAAGCTTGTTAGGCCACTTCCATCTCCATTTGAGCTCTTATCTTTTATTCTAATGATGCACCTGCCAGCAGACCAGGCTCCTTCGGGGCAGGGATGTCTTTCCTAATCCCCAGGGCCTCGCACAAAGGTTGAGATGAGCGATTAGGAAGCAGCAAGCAGCACCTCTGGGTAGAAACCACAGCCGCTGGTCAGCCCTCCCTTCTCCTTCCCATTCCCTAGCATGCCGCCTCTTCTTCCCCGGGAGACTTCCACCTTGTCCCCACTCAGCCCACTCCTGGGTCGGATGTCAGCAGGGGCAATTTCAGGTCACCCTGACCTTCAGTAAGACAACTGGAATAGGGAGAAGCTCTGTCAAAAGCTCTTCCACGATCCACGAGAGTCTCCAAATCCAGAAAGGTGGGTGGCCATGGCCACGCGGGCCCCGAGGGGCAGGGCCTTGCCTGCTGTCCTGCTTGAAGTCTGAGCGCACAGCCTGGTCCCCGCAGGTGTTCCACAACTACTTATTGAGTGGAAATCAATTACAGGGTTATTTCTAAGAACCAAGCAGCCCAACCGCTCTGCAGCTGAGGAGCTGGGGTGCAGAGGTATTCGCCCGTTTCTACCCTGTTCATTCCAACACTCACTCTCTGAACTATCTTGCTGCCCCCTTAAGAAGGCTCTTTACCAAGGCAGCATTTGGCACATGGTTACGATGCTGCCTGGGACACGTGCATCCCATATCCCATATCGGGTGACTAAGTTCAGACACAGCTTCACTTGCAGTTCCAGCGTGCTCATTCTCCTCTCTACCTTTCAAATTAATCAGTTAATTTTAAAAGTTTCAAAACTCATCGTTTATGGAGTGGGCATTTTGCCTAGTGGCTAAGATGCCCGAGTCCTATATTGGAGTGCCTGGGTTCTAGTCCTGTCTTCTCCCCCCACCCTTTTTTAAAAAATATTTATTTATTTATTTATTTGAAAGGCAGAGTTACAGAGAGGCAGAGGCTGAGAGAGCGAGAGAGGTCTTCCATCTGCTAGGTCACTCCCCCAGAAGGCTGCAATGGCCAGAGCTGTGCCGATCCGAAGCCAGGAGCCAGGAGCTTCTTCTGGGTCTCCCACCTGGGTGCAGGGGCCCAAAGACTGGGTCCATCTTCCACTGCTTTCCCAGGCCATAGCAGAGAGCTGGATTGGAAATGGGGCAGCTGGGACTTGAACCAGTGCCCATATGGGATGCTAGCACTGCAGGCAGCAGTTTCTCCCGCTATACCACAGTGCTGCCTCCCCTTAATTAATTTTTTGAAAGATTTATTTATTTGAAAGTCAGAGCTACAGAGAGAGAAGGAGAAACAGAGAGAGGTCTTCCATCTGCTGGTTCACACCACAGATGGCCGAAGCAGCTAGGGCTGGGCCAGGCAGAAGCCAGGAGCTTCATCTGGGTTTTCCATGTGTTCAGCAGGGGCCCAGCTCCATTAACAGGAAGGTGGTTTGGAAGTGGAGCAGCCAGGACAGGAACCGGTGCCCATATGGAATGCAGGCGGCCCCTTTATCATCTTCATCACAAGGCTGGCCCCTATCTCTACTTCTGACTCCAGCTTCCTGCTAATTTGCATCCTGAGGGGCAGCAGTTGATGGCTCAGGCAGTCAGGTTCCTGCCACCTGTGGGGGAGACCTGAAAGTAGCTGGGTTCCTGCCATCCACATGGCATTGAGCACCTGGCTCCTGACCTGGCCATTTTTGGCATTTGGAGAGTGAACCAGCAGATGGGAGCTCACTCTCTTGCTCGCTCTCAGGTATATTTTGAAAAAAAAAAAAAAAGTATTGTTGGCAAAGAGTTTATAACATAGGAAAACATTTTGTGTTCCCACGGTTAAAGGGGGCAAAGACGCACACAGTTGAAATGCGTCACATAGATCACATCTTCTAAAGCCAACAGAATGGTTGGCAGGCGACAGGTGCACATGTCAGCGTGGCCAGCATTGCCCTTCCCCCTGCCTCTCCTGTGCTGTTTTCTAATTCCCGAAAAATGTGCACACCTGAGTAATAAAGTGGGAGCTGTACACTGATTTTCAAAATGACCTTGAGTGAATGTGGCAGGGGAGGCTCCAAGCTCAGGCTCAGTCCCTCCTCCTGCTGCCTCACCCCATTACCCAGAAATGCCCTCTAGGGCTGAGCCAGGTGGCCTTCCCCACCCCAAACCGCAGAGCACCCGGCAAGCTGTCCAGGAGCTGCGCCTGCTTCAGGCTGGAAATGCTGCCTCCAGGCTGGCAGTGCCCCCCGCAGACGGGCAGCCCCTCCCTCCAGCGGTAAGGCCTTCCTCAGGGCACTCACAGGGTTAACCCTGCCTCTCAGGAATCCCCAGAAAGGACTCATGGTGGGAATTTCAGACAGACAGACGGACACGTCAGGCAGCTGTCGGCACTGCGCACAGATGTTTGCCTGGGGGTGTCGGTGAACCGCTTCTCACCGCAAAGAGTCTCGAGCTCAGACCCGCCTGGGCAGGCTGGCGGCTGGGCCCGGGAAGGGGCCCAGCATTGGGTCGCTGGCGAAGTCTGCGCGTGCGGAAGTCCCCCTCTGCAGTCCGCCTGGATCGCACCCGGCCTGCAACTCTGCTCTCGGTCCACCAGGCGTCGCCGCGGCTGCGGGAGGGCTCAGGGCACCGCGAAGGCGTGTGGGTCTTCAGGTCCGGGCCACAGCATTTCACAGCCTCTCTCTCATACTGGTGGCTTGTCTATTTCCCCCACTGCTCCAGGGGTCCCCGAGGGCAGGGATGGGGTCGCAGATTCACCCTCACTCTCTCGGTGCCCATCGGGACACCCGGCACCTGGATGCGCCCCATTCGGGCTGGTAACAACCCTAGAACCCACCAATACGTTGATCGCGGAGCTATGGGCTCAAGGCCTGAAGGGGGAAAGTCGGCAGGAGGGCTCTGTGTCCTCCACCCCTCCTCCACCCTAGACGCAGGCAGGGCGGGAGCGGACGCGGCCCCGCCAGCCTGGGCCCAGCGAGCCCGAACCTGCCCAGCCCGACCGGCGCAGCGCGGGACCCCACACGTACCCGGGGCGTCCCGGACATCAGAGGAACCATTGAATCCAGAGCAAACCCGCCTGCTCCGGGGGGCAATCTCGGGCCACCACCGCCCCTCCCCTCTCCATCTTAAACTCCTCTGCTGGATTCCTTTCAGAGTAGCCGACAGAGGTTAAGCACCTTTGCCCAACACTGATTTCACTCGCTCAGCGAGTGTCCTCCTCCCATTACCATACATGGCTAGGCGCTGGCTGTACGACAAGGAACAAACCAAAAACCCCTGCCCTCATAGAGCGTGGAGTCTGCGGATCCCACGAGCTGGGATGGGGCACTCCGGCCGGGGGAACGTGAGAGGCCGACAGCCAAGTGTCCACCCAGGTGAGCAAAAGGCGCGTGAGGTGCCGCCCTGGGGCAGGTAGACTTTGGTCTCCGCGGGAGGGGTGGAAGCAACGTGGGACTGAGCACGTCGCCCCGGGGCAGGTGCGCACAGGAGTGGCGGTGTGCAAACCCGGCCCTGACCTGGCCACAGGGTTACCTGGCCATGCACCTACTTGGCTCTGGGTAAACACTCGTATTTATCGTAAGCCCGGGCCTCCTGCAGACTGAGCCCTTGCGGGCGCGGAGGAGGCCAGCGGTGGCCCTCCCCCGGCTCCAGGCTCCTCCCTGGCGGGGTCAGCGCCGGACTTGCCGCGGCGTCCGGATCTGGCGTAATTACAGGGGCTTGTCGCCAGGCCTCGCCGTAAAAATAAATAAATAAATAAAAGATGAACTGGCCTGGGAACCGAGAAAGCTGGGCCCCGCCGGCCAGGGGCCCCAGGTCCGCGGCTTTCCGCGATGCGCAGCCGCAAGCAAGGGCCGACCCAGGACGCACACGCCCTCCCAGCACCGGCCAGGGGCGCGCACACAACCACACATGTAGCCGCCCCGCTCACACTGACCGCGGCGTCAGGCTCTCCGGCTGCAGGCACTCGCGAGCCTAATCAGACACCTGCCCGCCCTCTCCACCAGGGAGCCGACACCGCCCGCCTCCCCCTCTCCAGACAGCAGCAGGTCCCGGCGGGGAGAAGAGCCCCGAGAGCCGAATTCCAGCGGCTTTGTTTACACGGCGCGCGGCTCTTGGGGCCCATCTGACTGGGAGACTCGCTCGGACGGGGCTGGAGCCCGCGGCGCGCCAACTCCCCTGCCCCCGACTCGCGGTGCGCGGGCATCGGCACACGCAGGTGGCAGTTTCACACCGTGCTACACACTTGCGCGCCACCACGCGCACCACACACGCCGTACGTACTCGTGTGGGTGCAGTTTGTCACCCTTCGAAGGGCACACGTGTGTTGTCTCTCTCTCTTTCTCTCTCATACACACACGCGCGCGCACACACACACACACACGTCAGCGCCCTGGGCACAGCTAGAAGCAAGGACGGAGCCCTCGTGAGCCAGGGCCCCGCGTGTTCCTCCCGCGCACGGGCACTGATGAGCAACAGCACCCTTAACCCTGGCCGCACACGTTACACACTTGGTCACACACAGCGCAGCGCTTTCTTCCCGGCATCCAGGCGATGACACAATCTCCAGAACAAAGACAACATTGACAAACCCAACAAAAACAAACAGCCGCGCGCGTGCGTGTGTGTGTGTGTGTGTGTGTGTGTGTGTGTGAAGGGGCAGAGCAGCGCCGAGCCCGGGGGTGGGGTGGGGTGGGGTGGGGGCTGGTACTGGGGCGGCTGTGGGACGCGGGCGCCAGGCCTGGGCGTGCGAGGCTCCGGGGAGCTGGCCGCCGAGCAGCACCCTCACACTCTGCGGGAGCCGCGCTGACCGCTGCGAAGCTAGGTCCCGCGCCCGCGCGCTCATTGGCCGGCACGTGCGAGTTCGCCCTCTTCTCCCGAACGCTGCTGCGCGCCCGGTGCCATCAAGCCGGAACGCTTCGCTCAGGCCACCGAGTGAACGGACACGCAGCTCCTGGGCGGGACTGTGGAGGCCGAGGGGCGCGCTTCGCTGCCCCCCCAGCACCCGGGCCTCCTCCCGCCCCGGCCCGCCCCTCCTCCACCGCCCCAGCCCCCACCGCCCCGGGGCAGCCGCGCGCCGGGCGGGGCGGGGGCGGGGCCGGGTGTCAGGCGGCGCCGGCCCAAAAGGCGGAGTCGCGCGGCGAAGGGGCCAGAGCTGTGAGCGCGGTGCCGAGTGCGCCGCGGAGAGAGCCAGCGGGAGCCCGGACCCCGAGGAGCCCCCGTGCCCGCCCGGCCCGGCCTGGCCCCGCGCTATGGAGTTCCTCTGGGCCCCACTCCTGGGTTTGTGCTGCAGTCTGGCCGCTGCGGACCGCCACACCGTCTTCTGGAACAGTTCCAATCCCAAGTAAGCCCCGAGTCTCCCGCTGGCGGCCTGGGTGCCCGGCTGGCACTGTCCTCCCCCGCTCCCCGGCCAGCCCCTGACCTGAGCTTAGGAGAGAGACCAGAGGCGGGAAGGAGCCTGCAGTTTTCCCTCCCCGCACTTCACCCTCGTTACCGGGAGCACCCCACCCCGGGGCAGGAACCTGCCGGTCTGCTTGCACGGGCGCTGCCTCTGCCCTCTGGCACCCCTCTCACTTTGAGGCGAGGGACCCTTGCTGCACAGTTCCTGCCTGGAGCAGGGACCATCCTCCCTGGCGCCAAGGCCCTGGTCCTAGATCCCCCACCCCACCCCCGGTGAAGACCTCAGTGCCCCTCTCCACGGGTCACTGGGACATCCTCCCGTGCTGACAAGCAAGAGCTGCCTGATGGAACGTGGAGAGTGAGCACAGTGCTCAGGGTATCCGGGAAGGAGGTCTTGGGAAGGGCTGGGCTGTGGGGTATTAAGCATTCCTGGTGCATTGAAGACGACCCTGGAGAGCCCCCCTACAAGGGGTTCTTGGGGCTGACACATGCATGGGTAGGTTGAGGGAGTCACCTGTTTTTGAGGTTCAGGTAGTAGAACTGAAGAGATGGAGGGAGGGGGAGAGGTGAAGGGGAAGTTTCAGAAGGAAGGAGTGTGGTGCAAAGGATTGCAAGGGGGCGCTGGGCAGGAAAGAGTTAATTTCTCCTGGGCAGGTTTAGGGCTGTGAGGCAAATGGCACTGGGAGGAAGACGCTCTGTGGGACCTTTTGTTCTTGCCCTTGAGTTTTCTGAAGTTACGGGAACAGTATTTGCGGGGATGCAGGGCGGAGCAGGGAGGGAAGGGGCAGGCAGTTTGGGGTCACTAATCTTGGACACCCCAAGCCCTGGCTCGCCTGCCCCCCACCAACTCCCTTTGAGAAAAAGACTGTGCCCGCCTCCTCGCACCCTGTGGCATTGCCTGGTGCAGGGTTCGGCTGTCTACAGCTTGTTGAGGAGGGGGAGCTGGAGAACCAGCTGCCAAGCCCAGAGAGCAGCGCCCCCTGCCCCACCTTGGTCACCCGGCCGGCCCTCCCCCTGCCTGCTCCTTGCCGCCTGCTCTTTGCCTCCTTGACCCAGTGTCTGGCCTAGTAGTGGGAAAGAGCAAAGTCCCTGTTTATGCCCATGCCAGGTGTTGGCTGGAGGAGGCGGAGGGGACAGGAAGCCGTGAGCAGGGAGGGGGGAACCCTGGGCTTTTCCGTTCCCAAGCTCCCAGGTTTCCTCTCTTTCAGGAAGGAGCCTCTTCCTTGCCCCCCTCCTGCCTCTCTGCCGCTGCTGCCCCCCTTCCCCCACGGGGAGCAAGAGTGAAATCAGGGCCCAGTGGAGCAGATTGCTGCCCCATGGAGGGGGCCTGGGGGTCCCCACCACGCACAGCCTCTGCCCTGCCCCCCTGAACACACACACACAGCCATACTCCAGACTAAAGAGAAGCCAGTCCAGAGTGGAGTCCATGGGCAGCCAAGTCAGCCCCAGCTTGGGGGCAAAGATGAGGTGGCAGTAGCTGGGCGGGTGTGAGGCTGGCATCAGTGACTCAGGGCAGTGGGCATCGGCCCTGGGATCTCCAGGCCCCAGGCAGGGGCAGCATCAGGAGCAGGGTGGTGCCTCTGGGAGCCAGCCCTGGCCAACTTGGTGCTGGAAGAACAGAGAGACAGGCAGCCTGCCCACCGGCACCTGCCTGCTGCCTTTGCCTGGGGGTCCGAGTGCAGCACGAGCAGGTGCGGTGCCCTGTGCCTGCCGTCCCGGAGTCCTGGGGGCTGGCCACCCTTGGCATTTTCACAGGATCTCCTGAGCGCCAGGGCGGGTAGCAGAGGTGGAGGAGGCATGAGTCAGTGCCCGTCACGGGAACAGGGGAAAGACGCCAGGCCCAGAGCTGAAATACCTGTTCCGAAATGGCTTCTATGTTTATCTCTCCAGAGAGGAATTTTAAAAGCCTCTCTCTGCTCCTCTCTCTCCTTCCCCTGGGGTGGGGGAGGGGCCCTGTGAGGCAGCAAGCTGCAGCCAGGCCAGGCCTCTGCTGGCTCCCGGGGCCGAGCTGCCTGGGCGGTGTGTGCCCACCTCCCCCGCCACCCATGCCCAGCGCTTTGGCCTGAAGCAAGTCAGCAGCCAGGTCTGCCGGCTCTCTAGTTGGCACTGCCTGGGGGAGTCCAGACTGCTGACCAGCTTGGCGAGCCAAGGGGAGGCACTTTCCCCCAGGAGGACCCCACCCCGGTGGGGAGCCAGGTGTCTGGAGCTGGGGGAGGGGCCGGTGGGCAGTCAGGCTGGAGCCTGTGGGGCTTGGCGGGATTGGGCTGGGGGAGGGGAGCTGGCTCCACCTTGAGAGGAGAGGAGTGAACTGTCTCTGTTCTGAGAACTCCTGCACTTCATCCCAGGGGGCGGGGTGGGAGGGTGGGGGTGTGGCTTTTGGAGAGGAAGGGATGGGAATGTTTTGGGGGTGCCGGAGGACCAGGAGACCAGGCTATAAACATGAGCACTAGAAAGGGAGATTGGACTGAATTGATGGGCGAGATCTGACTTGGGTTATCTGTGGACCTGGGCTTGGGCCCGGGCTTGGGGGAAGTGAACTGGGCCCTGTGTGGTTGGGGAAGCGTGAGAGGATGAGGGAAGTGAAAACGAGTGTGGGAGCCGAGCCTGCGGACTCCAGGGGACGGGGTTCCTGGAACCCCAGCTGTAGAATGGTCCAGCTCGGTCTCTCATGGAGGCTCCGTGGCATTTAAAGGAGCGACTGATAGAATAGATTTGCGGAAATATTTCGGGGCAGAAGACAATGACGGGTGAGCTACAGAAATGCTCAGAAGCCCATCCCTGGGCAAATACGGGGCCGGTAGGGTGGTTGTGGGATGTGCCGTGGTACCTGGAAGGTACTGAGTGGCTGCTATTTGGGGGACTGGTGGGGAGGATGCTCGAAGATGGTGGCAAGATACGAAACAGCTCAAGATCAGTAAATATTGGAGGTGGGTATTCTGGAGAAACCGTTGGGGGATCCAGTGAGAAATGTGAGGGGGTCACGGAATCCTGTGGAGGGCCCATGGCTGTGGCCCGGCTGCTGACCGCCTGCTTTTGCCCCTTCTGCGCATGCCCAGGTTCCGGGATGCGGACTACACCGTGCACGTGCGCCTGAGTGACTACCTGGACATCATCTGTCCGCATTACGAGGACAACTCCGTGGCAGACACCGCCATGGAGCGGTACACACTGTACCTGGTGGAGCATGAGGACTATCAGTTGTGCCAGCCCCGCTCCAAGGACCAAGTCCGCTGGCAGTGCAATCAGCCCAATGCCAAGCACGGCCCAGAGAAGCTGTCTGAGAAGTTCCAGCGCTTCACACCTTTCACGCTGGGCAAGGAGTTCAAAGAAGGACACAGCTACTACTACATCTGTGAGTGCCCAGGAGGGCACAGCGGCCTGGGGTGGACATGCCGGGCAGGGGCCCCTCCCGATCCTGACTTCTGCTTTCATTCATTCACATCACAGAAGTAGAGTGTGTCCTGGGCATTCTGCTTGGTGCTCAGAGATAAAGAGAACCCTACACAGCCCCTGTCCTCAGGGAAGCAGGGCTGGAACACACACAGGCCGGCATGGTTAGACTCACGTGTGATGTGGCAGACTTAAGCACAGGGCCTTGGGAGCCCCAGGCCTGTGCACCTGCCAGGCTAGGGGGCTCAGGGCAGGCTTAGTGGGGAAGCAGAGAAGCTGGCCAAGGACAGAGGGACACATGCAAAGGACATGTGACATTTCAGGGAACTCCCTGTAGTCATCCAGGTGGAGCGGGAGGGACATAGGCAGTGGACGGAAGGGAGCTTGGAGAAGTGGACAGCACAGATCATGGGGGACCTGAGAAGTGCTAAGGAGTTTGGGCTTTGTCCTGAGAGCGGTGGGGAGCCCTGAGTGGATCTTAAGAGCTGAAAGATGAGCTCTGTGGTACATAGGCAGGGGTAACATACAGTGGTCCAGCTAAAGGGGAACACACTTGAAGGCCTCGCCCAACTTCAGGCTTGATTGAGGGAGTGAGGGTGGAAGGTGAGGACGGACAGGGTCGATGGTTTTTACCACTGCTGAGAGCTCAGGCTTGGTCTGAGGAATGGGAGGATGGGTGGGAAACGGGCAAGAACTGAGGAGGCTAAGAACCAGAGTTAGAAGGAAGAGAGGAGTCGGAAAGGCAGAGGGAGCCAAGAAAGCAGGCCCGGAGGCCTTCGGGCTTCTTCCAACAAAAGTTCCTTCCTTAAAACCTCGTGGGTTTATCTTGCAGCGAAACCCATTCACCACCAAGAAGACCAGTGCTTGAGGCTGAAGGTGACCGTCAATGGCAAAATCAGTGAGTGTCAGGGTCCTGGGGCCTCCTCCCTCCATCTCCAGGCTGGGCCTGCTCTAGTGTTTGGAGATCGTACAGAAACCTCACTGCCCTCACCCCGCTCTGCTTCTCAGGAGGCACAGTCCCTGACCTGCTACCTCTCTTGCCTTTCAGCTCACAGTCCTCAGGCCCACGCCAATCCACAGGAGAAGAGACTCCCAGCAGGTGGGTAGATGGAGCCAACTGGGCCCTGGGCACAGCAAGGAGTCGGCTTGTGGAGGTCGCATGAGCAGGTGGCTGCTGCGCCCGGCAGGGGCTGGGAAAGCTCTGCTGGGCTGGGGGCCACTGCTAATAGTGGGGCCTTTGCCCTCTCCTCTTGCAGATGACCCAGAGGTGCAGGTTCTACATAGCATCGGTCACAGCGCTGCCCCCCGCCTCTTCCCACTTGCCTGGGCTGTGCTGCTCCTGCCACTTCTGCTGCTGCAAACCCACTGACGGTGTGCGCCCCATCTGGCTCAAGGATTGGAACTGGGCTGAGGGGGCAGGGACAGGTACCCTCACCTGTCCTGGGGCCCTTCCCGAAGCCCAGCCCTGGGAACCACTCCCACCACATGCACAAGCTGCCACCCAGCAGCCTCAAAACGGGTCAGTATTAAGGGTTTCAACCCAAAGGAAGTCAACCAGCCTGGCAGGGCATTCCCTGCCTCCACCTCAGAGTGATGGAGAAAGAAGTGGGGACAGCCCTTTCCCTGCCAACTGCTGCCTTTAAACCAAAGAATCAAGCTGTGCAGACATGACCCCTTAAGAAGGGCACCGTGGGAGCCGAGCTGGAAGGGCCTTGGACCCCTGCAACATGGACGCCGAGCTTGGCCAAGATGGCTCCACGCAGAGAGTCAGGATGCCCAGGTGAACTGACCGAAGGAAAAGGGAGCCAGATACAGGAGAGGCAGCCACGCTTGGGCTGATCCTGTGTCTGCCAGCAGGACTTCCGCCTGTGGAGCTGCCATGGAGATGCGTAGCCAGGCACTGCCTTGTGCCCAGCCTGGGGCAGCACTCCCCAGAGCTGGGCCAGCAGGGGGCTGTGCCAACCTGTTCTTAGAGTGTAGCTGTGAGGGCAGTGCCCGTGTGTATAGTCTGCCTAGAGTGTGGCAGGGCCCACATGTACAGTACCTGTATATAGACTCGCCGCGTGTCTGTAATTTCTACAACTGGAGGTTTTTTTTTTATACAATGTTCTTTGTCTCAAAATAAATGTGTTTGGTTTTTTGGACGTGCTTTTCTGCTCCTGCATAGTTGCTTACTTAGGGCCAGTGAGTCCAGCTACGTGCCAGGCTCTGTCCTGCACCAGAGGAAGCTGCGGTTGTATCTCTGTCCCTCCGTAGAATACGTGCCCCTCACCAGGGCCCGGAGGGCTGGCAGGGAGGGGAGAGCTCCCCAAGGCTCCCTGCTCTGGACAGTCTTTCCGTCCAACCCGCGACCCCACCCCCGCCCCCTCAGCGCCTGGCTTTGGTGTACCGTCCAGGCACTCATCCAGGCACTCATGCTGTCCCGGTGAGTCAGGGAAGCTGAGGCGTGCGGCGCGCCCCACAGACGCGTGGGAGGCTGGGGGGGAAAGTTCCCAGCAGCAAGTAACTTGTACCAGGGAGCCGGTGTTAGGGGCTCTGGTGGATTGGCCAAGTCATCGTAAAGTTGGCCTTGTGGCTGAGGAGGGAGGGCACTGGACGAGGGAAGGCTGGGTGTTTCCTGGCAATCCCTGTTATTTAGGGGCGATACCGGGAAGAGGCGGCGGGATACTCTGGGGAACCGAGGTTCTGATTTGGAGCTCTGGATTGGAGGCCGGCTGAAGTCTGGTTAGGTCAATGGTTTGTTTTGAGGTCTACCGCCTAGCATACGTGCCCATGGGAACACAAGAGTCGAGGCTGGGGGTGGTCTAGGACCAAAGGGACACGCAGAGTGTGAGAGCGTTGGGTGTGAGGGACCAAGGAGCCCCAGGTGAAGGGGCTCGACCAGGACGGCGAGGGCAAGGCCAGGAACCGGACCACCGGGCGCCTGCAGCCAGTCGGCCCGACAGCCGAGGGCGCGCGGATGGGAGGGGGCCCGGCTTCCGGTCCGGCGCGCTACGGGGGGCGGGGCTCCGGCTCAGTTTCCGGAGGGACGGGCTGAGCGCGCGGGGGCGGAGCCGTGGCGCGAGGGGCGGGGCGGGGCGGGGCTCCGGCGTCACGGACTCTGGCGTGGCTGAACCTGCCGGCGTCCCGTGTCCGGCGCCCAGCGGGCGCGGGATCCGACTCTGGCGGGATGGAGGAGGGCGGCGTGGTCGACTCGCTCCTCTCCGGAGCTTGTGTGCTCTTCACCCTCGGAATGTTCTCCACCGGCCTGTGAGAGCGCGGCCGGGCTGGGCTGGGGGCAGGACCAGGAAGTCAGGAAAGATGGGACCGAGACTTGGCCACAGCCCCAAGTGGGCTGCGTCCGGAACATGGGGTCAAAATAGAATCTGAGCCTACTGAGGCCCAAGGGCGAGGCTGGTCACTCGGCCTGAGGGAGAAGACAGGGCAACTGGGTGGGCGACCGGGGGAGGGGTGTCTGTGGTTGCCTGGGGAGGGTGACAGGCATTGCGGACCCCCCCCCAGCACCCTGGTTCTTGCTCCCCACACCTCACCCCTCCCTTGGGGGCCGCTTACAGCTCGGACCTCAGGCACATGCAGATGACCCGGAGCGTGGACAGCGTCCAGTTCCTGCCCTTTCTCACCACGGATGTCAAGTGAGAGGGGCCGTGGCTACCTGAGGGAGGTGGGGGAGGGGTAGGCAGGACGGGTCCCACTCCCACACTCAACCTGCGGGCCTTGTCCCCCCACCCCCACCCTGCAGCAACCTGGGCTGGCTGAGTTACGGGACCTTGAAGGGAGATGGGACGCTCATGTTCGTGAACGCCGTGGGTGCCGTGCTGCAGACCCTGTATATCTTGGTGTACCTGCACTACTGCCCTCAGAAGGTAGAGGCCCTGCGGGGACCCACCTGGCTACACGCCCTGCCCCGCTGGCAGTGCAAACACTCCTTCCCGGAAGGCTGTAACGGACTGCACTCAGGCCCTTTCCTGGAAGGCCCTCCAGCCTTGCAGTTCCCCGTCCTCCACGAAGGCAGCCTTCTGGGATGCAACACGGGGCCCAGGTTCCTGCAGGGCTGGTAGTGCTCGCCAGCCTGGGGATGCCTGGGCTGCCCCGAGCGCAGGAGAAAGGGCTTTTGTCTCTGAGCAGGGGCCAGTGCCCGAGAATGCCACGATTAGCTCTGCTTCCCCAATCACACAAGCACTTGTTAAGCTACTCCTGTGTGTGCCGAGCTCACAAAAGGAGATCCCTTTCGTTCCCCTAGGGGCCTGCAGTGCTGCATGGCCAGGCCCACAAAGGCTGGCTTCCCCATTCGAGCCTGGGACAGGGCAGAGTGGATGGATTCCAGCAGGGAGGTGAGGCCTGCTCCTGGCACAGCTGGGAGTAAGCGCCCTCTCTCCCCTGCAGCGCGCCGTGCTCCTACCCACAGCATCGCTGCTGGGGTTCCTTGTCCTGGGCTATGCCTATTTCTGGCTCCTGGTGCCTGACCCCGAGGCCCGGCTTCAGCAGCTGGGCCTCTTCTGCAGCGTCTTCACCATCAGCATGTACGTCTCACCGCTGGCTGACCTGGTGAGTGGGGGTATCCATGGGGGGGGCAGGCTCCCACGCCCAGAGACTGCGGTTTGTACGCAGAGGAAGGGGCAGCCCTTAGGCTGAAAGGAGATAGGTAGTACAGGCAGGTGAGGAGAGGTTTGGCGACTCCTAGGCAAGGTGAGAACTTTAGGATGTGCCTGGGCCAGGAGTACCCGTCATCCTTTCCCACAGGCCAAGGTCATTCAGACCAAATCAACAAAACGACTCTCCTTCTCACTCACAATTGCCACCCTCCTTACCTCTGCCTCCTGGTCCTTCTATGGGTTTCGACTCCGAGATCCCTACATCATGGTAAGCAAACTGGGGATGGGGTGACGGGCGTGCAGGGTGGGACACTGGCTCCTCTCCTCACGGCAGCTCTTACGATTTCAGGTGCCCAACCTTCCAGGAATCCTCACCAGCTTTATCCGCTTCTGGCTTTTCTGGAAGTACCCACAGGAGCAAGACAGGAACTATCGGCTCCTGCAGACCTGAAGCAGCTCACCTCACCCCTTATCGCCAGCCGGATACCAAAGAGAGCCCCTTGGTGCAGCCGGCCCTCTGACCCGCTCTGTGGGTGCGGCGGGTTGTGGGGCGACGGCTACTTTGCAGTCAGAGGGCTCAACGAAAGAGCTTTACTGAGACGCTCAGGTGGGACCCGGGAGATGAATCACGTTTATTTTTTAAGAGAAATTACCTTTTTTTTTTTTTTTTTTTTTGACAGGCAGAGTGGACAGTGAGAGAGAGAGACAGAGAGAGAAAGGTCTTCCTTTGCCGCTGGTTCACCCTCCAATGGCCGCCGCTGCAGCCGGCGCACCGCGCTGATCCTGGCAGGAGCCAGGAGCCAGGTGCTTTTCCTGGTCTCCCATGGGGTGCAGGGCCCAAGCACCTGGGCCATCCTCCACTGCACTCCCTGGCCATAGCAGAGAGCTGGCCTGGAAGAGGGGCAACCGGGACAGAATCCGGCGCCCCAACCGGGACTAGAACCCGGTGTGCCGGCGCCGCAAGGTGGAGGATTAGCCTATTGAGCCACGGCGCCGGCCCACCTTTTTTTTAATTTTGAGGTTGGGGTGATTTTTTTAGAATGTGCCTTAAAATAAATTGTTCTCCACCCCTGTCAATCAGAGCTCATTCTTTATCCATGATTCTCTACCTGCCTGGCTTGGTGGAGGGCAGGACTGACTCAGAAAGGGAGCCTGAAAAAACCATGGGGTTGGGAAGGCCTCACAAAGGGAATCAGGCTTCAAGAGGGGCTTCTAGGCAAGGCTAAAGGCCCGGGAAAGCGAAGGGGCGGCCCGTCCTGAGAGACCTCGAGAAGGGCCCTTCGCCTCCCTTGGAGCACACGGGGAGCCACCCGATGCAGAAATATGAAATAGAGGCTGGCATGGTTCCGCCACCAGTCCCTTCTCCCCCGCTGCCACCCAGACATTCCAATTTCCATGCCCTATACTCAAACACAGTTAGAAAATGAACTGCCTTTAATGGGGGGGAGGGGGGTCAGAAGCGCAGCCCTCGGCGCGCTAGGTCGGCTCGGGCCTCCTGGATCTGGCTCTGCAGCTCTCGAGCGGCGTCCTCGCAGTCGTGAAACGTGGCCACGCGATAACCCACAGTGCCCAGGGCGTAGCAGCCGGCGGACACCAGCAGGTAGGCGGGCAGGGGCCACAGGACCTCCCGGAAGGCAGAAGGCAGCTCCAAGCCCAGGGCTCCAGTGGTCAGAGCCACCCAGGTGGAGCCCAGGAGCGCCAGTCCCCAAAGCCACTGCGCTAATTTCGTCATAGTCACTGCGAGGAGAAAAAGAAAAGTTGAGGGTCCTTGCCTTCGCCACCCCCGCCTCGCCCTCCATTCAGCCCTTCTACCCAGCCTTACCGCGGCCCCGCGTCTCCTCTTCCTGGCGCCGCACCGGCGTCAGCGCCCGGAAGTTCCCCGCGGCTGACGCCCCTCCTCCGCGCGGCCTTCTGGGAGTTGTAGTTCTTACGGAGGCGCCCAGTCCTTCGTCTTGATACAATGTGGAGCCGACTCTGCGCAGCCAAATTTTGAGTCTGGGTCTGGAGGATCCTTGGCGCTGCTCCTCTCCCTCGGACCGTGCTCCAAGGTGGCGTGGGTCTTGAGGAAAACTTGAACACACCCATAATCGTTGCCACAAGGTGGAAAGAAAGTATCATTTCCCTTAAACTCAGTTCTCCAATGCAGAAATCCCATTCACTCACGGAGTCATTCATTAGAATCTTCAGCACTGTGATAGACTTGAGAGGTAACAGAGAGATCAGGAGGCCTGGGCCAGGCGAGGGAAAGCAGTCAGGGAAACAGATGGCTTCATGGCTGACCATAATGCCTTGAGATGTGTGTTTGCACACAGGTTATTAAGTTTTGGAAAAGAAACGCAGAGAAGCAACACATACAGCTTGGAGCCAGAGGAACAGGGATACAAGAAGTTCAAGGACAGAGAAATTACTGATGTTTAAGGCTGGCAGAGGTGGGGGACTCGATGTGTAAGTCCCACGGAATCATTTGGTCTGGCTCCGCCAAGGCAACGGCAGGTAATTTCAATACATCTGCAGCAGGTTAATTGATTTTTAAAGATTTATTTATTTATTTTAGAGGCAGAGTTACAGAGAGAGAGAAAGAGAAAGAGATCTTCTATCTGCTGCTTCACCCCCCAAACGGCTGCAATGGCCAGGCCTGGGCCAGACCAAAGCCAGGAGCCAGGAAGCCCATCCAAGCCCCGACGTGGGTGGCAGGAATCCAAGGACTTGAGCCGTCCTCCACTGCTTCTGGGGTGCATTATCAGGAAGCTGGATCGGAAGTGGAGCAGCTGGGACACAAACCAGCACCCATATGGGATGCTGGCACCACAAGTGGAGGTTTAACCTACTATGCCATAGTGCCAGCCACAGCAGACTAAATTTTTTTAAGCTGATAATTTTGTATGGCCCACAAAGGATGTTATAAATATCCACAGGGCCCTTGGCAGAAAAAAAGCTTCCCCACCCCAGGAGGTGCTGACAGCAGGTCCACATTTTTCTTTAAGAGTTATGGGGATGGATAGCAGTGGAAGATGGCCCAGGTCCTTGGGCTCCTGTGCCCGCATGGGAGACCCGGAGGAAGCTCCTGGCTTCTGGCTTTGGATTGGTGCAGCTCCAGCCTTTGCAGCCAACTGGGGAGTGAACTAGCAGATGGAAGACCTCTCTCTCTGTCTCTACCTCTCTCTGTAACTCTGTCTTTCAAATTAATAAAATAAATCTTAAAAAAAAAAAGTTATGAGGATGGACTCATGGTTACTACATAGAAAACCAAGTAAAGGAAAGGGTCAGCAGTTACCAGCTTCAGGGAAAACAAAGAGGCATAAAAGAAAGGACAGGAAAGCGACAGGAGGCCAGTGTGGAAGGCTACTTGGAACACAGGTTTATTGCCTTGTGGCGAGCGGGAGCGCGCACTGACAACCAACAACCAACAACCATGGGGCCACTCAGAGAGCCGCGGGGAGAACAGGGTCACTGCAGGACACCGGAAGAGTTTGCCTTCAGGGAGAACTCAAATGAAGCAGTGGGGTTTGGTTTTGTTCTCTGTAATTTACTTTTTCAAGATGTAGAGACAGATAGAGAAAGAGGTCCCAGCCACCAATTCATTCTCTAAAGGCCCACAAAGCCAGGAAGGACATCCAGGTCTCCCTTGTGGGTGGCCAGGACCCAACTATTGGAGCCATCACCTGCTGCCTCCCGGGGGTGCCTTAGCAGGAAGCTGGAATTGGGAGCAGAGCTGGGACTCGAACCAGGCCCTCCGATACGGGATGCTGATGCCTCTCTTCCAGCTCCTAAGCCTGGCTAACAGCTTGCCACTAAAGTAGTGTTTTAGAAGACCTGAGGTAAGCATGTTTGGAAGTGTAGGCTGAGAAGCAGAGAGTGCACTTGGAAACCACCCAGATAAATATGGAATGTAGTACCCCCAAATCCATCCTCTGAGGTTTTGCACTTGAGTTGGAAATAGCGGCTGTGTCTCAGTGTCAAGGTAGATTATGTGGCTCGGATCTCCAGGCCAGAGTGCAATGTTCCATTCTCATTGATTGATCTCAAATAGCAAAATTTGTGACTGTCTATGATTTTTAAAAAGAGTTATCTGTGGCTGGCGCCGCGGCTCACTAGGCTAATCCTCCGCCTGTAGCGCCGGCACCCCGGGTTCTAGTCCCAGTTGGGGCGCCGGATTGTCTCGGTTGCTCCTCTTCCAGTCCAGCTCTCTGCTGTGGCCCGGGAATGCAGTGGAGGATGGCCCAAATGCTTGAGCCCTGCACCTGCATGGGAGACCAGGAGGAGGCACCTGGCTCCTGGCTTTGGATCGGCGCAGTAGGCCGGCCGTAGTGGCCATTTGGGGGGTGAATCAACAGAAAAGGAAGACCTTTCTCTCTGTCTCTCCATCTAACTCTGCCTGTCAAAAAATAAAATAAAAATAAAATAAAAATAAAAAGTTATCTGTGGGGCTGGTGCTGTGGTGCAGGTTAATCCTCTGCCTGCAGTGCCAGCATCCCTTATGGGTGCCGGTTCAAGTCCCGGCTGCTCCACTTCCAATCCAGCTTTCTGCTATGGCCTGGGAAAGCAGTGGAGGATGGCCCAAGTGCTTGGGCTCCTGCACCTGTGGTGGGAACCTGGAGGAGGCTTCTGGCTCCTGGCTTTGGATCGGTGCAGCTCCGGCCATTGCGGCCATTTGGGGAGTGAACCAGTGGAAGGAAGGCCTTTCTCTCTCTCTCTGCCTCTTACTCTCTGTAACTCTACCTCTCAAATAAGCAAATAAAATCTTTTTTTTTTTTTTTCCAAAAGAGTTACCTGTTTGTTTATGTGAGTGACAGAGGAAGAGAAGGAGACACCAATCTTCCATCCACTGCTTCACCAAAGGCCACAACAACCCGGGCTGGGCCAGGCCAAAGCCAGGAGCCAGGAACTCTACCCATGTCTCCAGGCGGCAGGGTTGCCATCTGCTCCTCTCCCAGGTGCATTAGCAGGGGCTGGACTGGAAGCAGAGCAGCGGCACTGGCAGTGGTGCTCCGGGATATTGGATGCTGGTGACAGAAGTGCAACTCAATCCACCATGCCACAATACCACCACCTGTGTATGACCTTAGAGAACCAGGTTCTCAGCCCATTTCCATGTAAATTAACAAAAGCAGCTTTTACAGATTCGTAGTTTCAGTACAAACACCCCGTGGCCCAACTGTGAAGAATGTTTTCACAGGCATCGTAATGTAAACACTGAAATTAATTTTACTAAAAATTGGGATATATTTAAACTGAGAGGATGAGGGAGGGGAGGAGTATATTAGGAGAATAAAGATTACAGAGAAAGAAATCTGTGCCTTCTACAGTGGACAGTCATTTCGTTGTATCTAAAATGGAAAAAAAATAAGAAATAATAAGATGAGCATAGTGCTTAGAAGTGCAGAGGTGTCGGGCCAGTGTTGCGGTGTAGCTGTGCGACATCCCATATGGGCGCCTGTTCGAGTCCCGGCTGCTCCAGTTCCAATCCAGCTCCCTGCTAATGCACCTGGGAAAGCAGTGGAAGAAGGCCCAAGTGCTTGGGACCCTGTCACCCATGTGGGAGACCCAGAAGGTGCTCCCGTCTCCTGGCTTTGGTACAGGCCATTGCAGACCTTTGGGGAGTGAACCAGAGAAAGGAAGATCTTGTTCTCTCTGCCTCTGTAACTCCACCTTA